CTTTTCTCCTCCCCTGAACTGCCAAAAGGTGCAGAACTACATCCATCAGATCCTTTTGATCAACTTTTTACAAAAAAAAAACAAAACAAAGGAAACAATTGGGTAAAATTGTAAATGGGAGTGTTCCATATTTCCAAACTCTCTGATATTCGTCTCAAAAAGTACCTGAATTTTTTTCTCCGAAGAATTCAAAAAAAGGTGCAAATTCTATCCGCTGAACAATTTGCCACTTTATTGTCATCCATTGAAGCGAAAGTTAGCCAACTTCCCAGGAGGGTGATTGAGTATAATCTATTCTGACACACACGTGCTTCCTTTCTGCTTCTATAAGTGCCCTTATTCCCTATTGTTGGGAGGAATGGCAGGCAAAGGGGAGGGGAGAGAAGGACAGCAAACTTTATGTCAAATAATGTTAAGGGGGAGAAGTCGGGAGGAAGGCTAGAAGACAATTTTATAACACCCAATTACCTAATCGACTTCTGACTTAAAGTGGTGAGAAGTTTAAGTAATGGGGGAGGAAAGGAGTGGTGGTTGCCTCCTCTTTAACAGTCGACGTCAATTCATCAACCTTTACAATTTAACTCTATCATGTTCTGCGGCCTGCCTTTAAAAGGCGAAGTGAGGATTTAATCAGGTGAAGGTGTTGCCTATTTTGACGGCAGCAACGAGATTCCAGAGCCATAGATGTGGAAAAAATCTACTAAACAAGGGTCTCTGTTTATTCTTATTTACGATCCAAGGTATTTCCCCTAAAATGGGCTTGCTTCTTGTTAGTTGCGTGTAGGCGTGCGGGTGTATTTCAATGCGACTATTTCCACAAACGCCTAAATTAAACAGCTGTTTAGCTAGAGGTCATTTGGCCATGGAAAGGTCATTTAACGGATAAGTGGTCACCGAAATTGACTGCATGGTCACTAAGGGAAGGTAAGGAAAAGCATCTTTCCATGTCATCACAGTAATGGAGTTTAGACAGACCTCACCAGGAGGGACGAAATGACCAAGGGTTTGGAATAATTGAATGCGCCATCAGGTGAAAAATTGACCTCCTCGTTTAGAGGTAAGATATTTTTCCTTAAAAAAGCGGTATCAAGCCTACGGCTTGGTTTTGACATGAGAAGCAGACATTATCTTGTTTCTACTATCACCTCCTTTCATCTGACCTTCATCTCCTACCTGCCTATTCCACTTCTCTTGTGATTGCCGATTGTTAAGAAGTGCTGCTGCTCACCTGGAGACCTGTTGGGCTAGATCGGTAAGCAAGGTGAAGCCGTATTTTCCCTTCCTTCTTTTCAAAAGTAGCAGGAGGCATTTCCACGATTTGGTCTTCTTTCCGATCCAACAATTGTGTTGATTGCGCAAATAGAAGCCATTATTTGAACTCTTTAACTTCGGAAGATAGACCTCGACAGCAATAATTTGGGCTTTAGCAGATGAACAGCTCTAAATAAACAAAGGTATCCTCAATGCATCACACACATCGGACTCAGTGTGGTCTATTAAGAATAAAGTGATGCCTGTCTTTGAAAAATCGCGCAAGTTAGTGATAGGGTGGTAACCAATGCCAAGGCGGTCAGTTTCCACCTTAAGTGGGTCATTTTGTCAGTAGGTGAACAGCTCAAAATAGACGATGCTTTTTGACGAAGTGGAATAAGTGAGGAAATGAATAGCTGAAGGGCGAGTGTCTTGGAGGCATATTGTCATCGGCTGTCAATGGGTGGTAGGCCACTTCCTCAGCAAACGTCATGACCTCTCCCGCTTGTTGTAAACGTAAACACTAATTGTTAAATTCCACGCGGTTACCATGGTTACAAGGTGTTCTTATCACATTATCCCCTTTTAAAATGACTTATCAACAGAAATAAGAAACTTTCTGATCTTTCTGAGCTCAACATAGTGCCAACCGTTATTTGTCAGGGTTTCGAGATGGAATGCTCCACTGCGACCTCTTCTCAGAGGTAGCTACAACAAATTTTTGGAAAAGCGTTGCAAGTCTTGCAAATCATTTCTTCTGTTTTCTTTTATACTAGCATATAGCAAGTTTACAGATTATTGAAAAGGTAATTTCACATTTCAAAAATGATTTTTTCTTTTCTGAAAATAACTTAGTTGCTTTTCAGGGACAGGGTAAATTATTTGGTTGAGTGGTGGCTTCGCCTAAACTGTGCAACAAGACATCAACATTGAAAGAGAGCAATTTGTTGCTACTGCACCGTCCAAAGGTCATTCCAGCAAAGTAAGAGTACCACTCTATGCAATTAAAAGGCCAGTATAAATAAAAAACTCATTTAAAGCAATACTGGAGCATGACATCCCGTCATTTTTCTTTACTGTGACGTTCTCCATGCCTCCTTTCGCTACTCTTCTGATTTACACACATATTAATGCCATCGTTTCGTGTGGACTACACGAAGATGACTGCGGGATGATTGACTTGACTGGTGGCAGTGGACACTGCAGGTGCGGTGGGGACATTAAGACTTAGGGATTATCGCCACCCATGAAATGCAAACGGCAGCAAGGAGGAATCCACTTGGGTGGTGTCATGCATCAAACATCATGCATGACAGTCGATTTTGTGGTGCATGCTCCAAAAAGCAGCACTATGAGGAGACGCGCCAGCCTCCCCGCATGTGCTATTACATGAAGTTCATCCGTTTGGAGAAACAGGTCAAGTTAGAGTGTTTCCTCGAGGTCATCTGGAACCATTTGAAACTTGATCTCACAACATTGGTAGTTGCTGCGCGAACCTAGAAATTGAGGATTGGTCAAGAGAGGACGCAATATGTGTGCATTGGAGGTGGGCCTCCACTGACTCAGTCACCGTTATTTGTTCTTGCCTTTTTTCTTCTGTAACGTATGGGTTATGCGACTGGTCACCAAGCAGCTGAAATGGGAACGTTCATCATTTGAATAGGGAACCTCTCACCTATAACCATTACCACCGATAACCACAGTGGAGCCATCCTCTGTGAGTCAACCACCCGGGGGCGATAAAAGCAAGACAAAAGACGGCGACTTTTTGTCACCATGCCAAATGTCTGCGAGGTTACAGGCCAAACCGGTTTACCAGCCTACAGAGATCAAAAAGCCGGCTCGATTGAAAGGCTCTTTACAACAAGAACTTTTGCTCCTAAACTTAACCTTCCCCTTGTTCAGATGCTCTCAACAATGGGTAGGTATTTTTGGGGGGGCATATGTATGTGTGCGTTTGCTTTTGGGACCAATAAGAAGGGCTAGACACAAAAGGGTTTATCATTCTTCCGGCTTACAATTAGCATCTAAATAGACCTGCGCACACTCACACATGCACAAATAATCCTCGCATCTGAGGGGAAGAGAGGGAGGGGAGGACTGGGAAGGGGGGAACTGGGGAGCCAAGAAGCAAGGGGATGGATGAGAAGTAGCGGTCAACACCTCCTCACACCCTCCCATCAGATGTGTGTGCGCGTGCTCGCTTAAAATTGGCTAAGTTATATTACCAAATTGTGAAACGTTAATTAAACTAAAAGGAACAGAGAGATAGAGAGCGGGGGGGAGGGGGTGAAAGAGTAAATGAAAAACAAATAGAGATGGGAAGTGCTATCTCCTTTGTGTCTACAACAGTGGAGCATTTTTAACAAATAGCCATATAAACCATTTTTTTGGTTGCTTCCATTTTTAAAGGAAAATTTCCTAAAGGCTATCATATTTATAGCAAATCATGCTTTTTCGCTGTACTGAATGTACAGCACTAAGGTTTTCCTACAACACATAGGAGCCTTTTTGATCCACCTGGCTCAAGTATAGTTGCGGAGACCCAAACTGGTCCTTTTTCAAAACTACGTTTTAAACAACCAACTTATTACATTCACCTTCAACTGTTTTTTACTTCCTTCTGGCTCATTTTTTATGAATGGATTGAAACTGCAGGATCTGCATAAGTTGGTCGGCGAACAATCTGCTTTTGTTGGTGGCGTCCTCAAATTCTATCATGTGATTAGCTACTTGAATTCAAAAAGCATTGGAGCAAAATTAGCGGGTACGTTTTTGGATGTAGAGGTGCATTACTCAACGCTGACAACTTACCCTTTAGAAATTTTGTTTCATCCATAGTTTAATGGAAACCTAGAAGTACTCTCTACTCTCTAAATTTTCATTAATCCTGACAAATCACCATGAGGGATTACACCACGTAAGTCCTATTTCTTCTTTCACTAAGCCATTCAATGATGCTGCTAAATCCCGAAGATCAAGCGGCTTAGTTGAGCCTCATAACTCTCTGCTCTCCACGCGATTGGTCATAAAAACGACCGCTTTTATTAATGGGCCAATCACAACAGCACGAGTGTCACATACACGTGCATACACTCACCTTTTAGCCAATCAGCAGGCTAGGCCATTTAAGGGCTTTTCTAGCAAGCTTCTGCTTTGCCACAAATCCCCAAATTAATCCCAGCTTCAAACTTTCAACATTTCTGCCCATCTTCCGGTAAGTCGGGTACGGGTATGAGGGGATAAGCAAGGGTATTAACTGAGGCAGAACAAATGATCCTCTTATAGACGAACTCTACCGCCTCCACCACCACCACCATCGCCATCACCGTCACCGCTGTCAACCGATGCAGGCAAACAGGCAGCAGTTGCTTAGCGGTGACTTCTGTTTGGAGAACAATACCTGTGTTTTTGAAACAAACCCCTTCTCTGCCAACACGCCCACCTTTGAGGCCTATCGATCTGTTCCATCACCGGTTATGGCAGCTATCCCAGTTAGTAAGACCGGTCTGCCTAAGAATGACAAGACTGCCAATATGGGTAAGTTTTGGTGAATAAATAGCCATACTCCTACTAGTAATGTGAGGTGGAAATGACGGCCAGGGGCAGGGAAGGTGAAGAACAGATTTATAAGCTTTAGGATTTATTATCACGCGTTTGCTCAGTAGCCTCCGTATCTTTCCCATTTTGGCGTGCGCGTCGCCAGATGGGTTTGTTACTGGCTTAAAAAGTGTCAGAAAACTTGTCAATGCTAAATTAGGGTTCTTAAGTTTAGAAAATGAATCCTCCTCGAAAGGATGCCCTTTGAATGATGTTTCTGTATTACAGTATCCTCTTCAAATAATGATAAAAGTGTTACAGGAAGATTTTGTGGCTTTGACGTCGAAGTAAACTTGGTTCCTACAGAAGAGCAGCTTGATTCGCATTCTTCAGGATTAAGAGAGTTTAAAGGAAGAGGGTACCTCAAAAACTGTTAAAATAGACATAAACCACTGCTTCACAAATAATATTATCCAAAGATTCTTTGCAAAAGTATCTTCCTTAATGACGCATTCTTTATACATGAAAAAAGAGAAAATCTGTGGTTTTTGAAAAAGGTCGATTTCACCCTTTTTTTCGGTCAGGATTCGGGTCCCACCTGCTTCAGTCAATGCATGAATTTTCCAGTCAACTTCCACCCCCACCACCACTACAACCACCACCTCCGCTTCCACCGCCGCCTGTACTACAAACGCCCATATCATCTACATCGTCAATGCTGACAACCTACAGTTTATCCAATCTGCCCCACCATCAGCACAGGCCGAACCCAACTCTGACAGCCCCGAAACCATCATCCAGTAAGTCGACCGGATCGATTACTAAGGGACATGAAAGCAAGCATGTTACCACCACTGCTGCCACTAACACCAACACTTCAACCGGATCTAGACGTTTAATGAATGCTAATAAGCGTTCTAGACGACAGAGAACTCATTTCACAAGCCAACAACTTCACGAATTGGAGACAACCTTCATGAGAAATAGATATCCTGACATGAATATGCGCGAGGAATTGGCTGCTTGGACGGACCTAACCGAAGGTAGAGTTCGAGTAAGTATTATTCACGAATTTTTATAGGTGCTCCATGTCATGTATGAATTTCTTGGAGTTTGAGATATTTGCTTGCCTCTCTTTTATGAACACTATTGTGGACCAGGTGATCTGGAGGCAGAGCCATTGAAGAGTAGGTGTTACGTCACTCAAAACTCTTCATATAACACCAATCAGGGCTATAGACAAGAAACAGTGGCGTAGGCAGCTTTGATTGCACTTCTGTTGTGTAGTTCCACAGGTTGCGCAGTCCACAATGTCCAAACGAAGCAATAGATAACATTGGTCTTCTGGAGAAAGTATTTGTCGCCTACCATAAATTTAGCCTCCCAGGCCTCCCAAAAATACCTTTAAAATGCAGGAGTGCAAACAAAGGAGGGTTTGATTGGCCAAGAGATTTATGAGCTACCAAATGGCGGCTATGGAAAGGTAAGCACGGTGCCAAGATAGCAGACAAAATCATGCGGGAATTTAGAACTCTCCACTGATAAAGACATGATAGGCAGATGAATTCTATGAAGAATGGCTAAAATCAATGACTTTAGATTTATCGCTGCCATTTTACTTATAAGATGGATAAATTGTGCACGTGTAGCGTTTAAAGCCCCTATTGAAATCATTTCATGAGAATCCTTTAATGTATGTGTATAGAATGACTGAAAGACTGTCGTCGTGGCCAAGTGGCCATTCTGCCAACTGTAAGTGCACCTTAAAGAGGATAAAGAGAAAAAAGGCGAATAGCCTCGCTCATACTTTATAGCATCGGGTGTGTGTCGGTAGAGGGTTACCTAGTTGAGAAAGCACGTCATGTCATTTTCCAGGGACGCATTTTCCTGTTCTGCACTGAATTGTACAGAAATTTAGTGGAATATTGGCTACTTAATAATTTAGCAGTAAAAATTTATTTACGAGAAAGATGAAGATTCAATGTAAAAACCACACGTAACAAAAAGTAAAAATTTCAAATTACTTACTTTTCATGAGTTCCTAAATATAGCTAAGATGTAACGTCTAAAAAACTGCAAGAACCCCTAAATTTAGGCCACAAATTTTCCAACTGTAATTTCGTAATTGCACAATCCGAAGCGTATTTTTGCTTCTTTAGGTTTTAGGTAGAAATGTGAAACATCTTCTTTAGTGTTTTTAATTTCAATTAACCTAAAAGAAAAACACAACTATTTCATGTTTTAAGAAATAATCAATAGGGATTTAGCTATGAATTTTAGGCTATTTGATTGTTCAGAAAATTAAGGTATTATGTATCCATTTACAATGGTGAATACGCAAAGACATTTTGGTTGCGTGAATTACTAATGGGCGAGTGGCAAGTTACTAATCCATCAATCAGAACTATTTGAATGCACGAAAATGCAAATTTTTATAATTTTTCCTATATTTTACAAACAACCCCAATATTTCATGCATTTGCTCCTTTCTTCTTAGGTCTGGTTCAAAAATCGTCGCGCAAAGTGGAGAAAACGCGAGCGGCACTTGGAGGCTTTGCGCACCAATTTTAGCCATCCTCACCATAACCACGTCAACCCACATCACAATCCCTTTGCTCCCCTTCTTCTCACCTCGCCTCATAATAGTCTTTTGCCTCCACAGCAGCCACCAAATCCACCACCACTTAATCCATCGCACCAACACACCAATATCTCTGCTACCGCAGCAGCAGCTGTTGCCATGGTCGCATGGAGGCAAACGTCTAAGCCTCCAACTTCAACAGGGTTTCTCTGGCCTCCTGTACGATCGGATGAGGTGGATAGTTCTCTACAGACATCTGTCTTACCTCCTCTCACCTCACTACCGCCATCGTACCCACTATTTGCGTCAGATTCAGCAGGAGGTTTTGAGGTGAAGTGGAGGGCCGACGAGGGAGGCAGCGACAGTGACGACGAAGAGGAGGTTGAGGACGATGATCAGGAGGAGGAGATGGTATCAAGACTCCAACAGGGTCAGGATTACCCACCACCACCACCACCACCACTGCTGGTTCGACTTCCACAGCAACAGCAACTACAGCAGCATAACCACCCAGATTTCTATGACTTCCACCAACATATTAATCAAAATCACCAGCACCAATTTGACCACCAGACATTCCAGCAACATATACACCGTGAAGGCCCATTTGGGAGGCTTCCAACAACGGATGAGTTGCAGGAAATAGGTGGACCTCAATTTAGCCAATCAGACGGAAATTTGCTTTCTTGAAATGATCTTTTTATCTCAAAAAAATATAAAGAACAGGAAATTCCAGTTAGCCATTTATATTTGAATATTATGTGAGGAAAACATCTATTAATTAAGTTAATTAGGCAGTTTGTTGACAAATGAAAAAAAATAAAAGGCAATAATTGCGAATGTAATTAATGCATTCCTCAACGATTTGAATGATCTAGTAGAGGGTGTCGCTGTGGCGGTGTGATAAGTAGGCCAGTCTAGAAACTGCTGATCAAAGTAGCAGGAAACGGAGGTCGCATTTTTTAACGGTGATGGGAAAATTAGGCTCTCATAGGGACGATCCAAAAGCGGTTGAGCGGTTATCTGTACACCAAAACACGAAGCATAATGTTATCTGAATAAGCAGTTAAAGAGACAAGGAGTCATGCTCTAGTAGGATCGGCATTATCTCTGCCAAGTCAGCAATCATCTTTAGGTCAGCAGAGCCAGCACTTTTAGTAGCGCTCAGCACTTTTAGTAGCGCTCAGCACGGCAAGTGACGCAGCAAGTGACCTACATCCACATCAAATAGTTAAGTTGTGTCAGCTGAGGAGACCCACCTCACCCATAGTCATGAAAGGCTGTCAAACGCACATCACCGGTTATTAATCAAAACTCAACTCACCACTCCAATACTTCCAGCCTCTACGACATAGAGCACTTCTACTTTCCAAAAAACCGGACTTTTTTGCATGTGAACAACTGCGGTTGAGATCCGTCTACCCGAGGCAGACCAAACACATGAAAGGACACAAATTCTTGAGAAAGGATCAGAAGAACCATCCTTTTTTGAGACAGCGCGGACATAAGATTGTAGAGCAGCATAATTGAGAGAGTACTAGCAATTTCGGTAAGAGTATTGCCACATTCACGCAAGCCTCCACTCTTCCTTGTCACTCATTTCCCTCACAAACGAAAGGGAACAGAGAATATAAAAATACAATATAAGGGGAGAGAGGTGGTTCTGGTGACAAAAGGATACAGACTAGAGACTTTAGGAAACGTTCTACTGCCTCTTTCTCAAACCTCCCTCCCCGACAACTTACCCACAACTTTCCCTTCCTCTCCGTAAACGTCTCCCCTGTTATCCTAGATGGGCAAATCAAACAACCACCCCATTTGGGCAAAAGGCGCCAAATAAACACTTTTAAACGACAGAGGGATAAAGGTAGCAAATTCTCCCCACTTCAAACAAATCAAAGGTCACTTGATAGTCGGCTCAACGGCGGATTTGGATAAATCGCATTTCGTTTGAGAGGGCCCATCGGAGTTCGAGCATGCAGCCGGTAAATTAACCACGCCTAAAATCAGGCGCCATCTGACAGTTACGCGGTACCCCCTCCATCTAACCCAGAGAAAGTCTCTTTCCCCTTAGTGGAATTGCTTACTTTCCCAAGAGATCACATGGGCAGCCCAGAATCTTACCGTCCATTTGGCAAGTGCGCAAACAACTTGACATCTACAAGGCCGACAGGCAAACAAATAAACAGTAACTTTAGACTTGAAGAGAGAGCGCATAGTTGCAGATCCACAAAGAGGGGGCAGGAAATGACCCACCGAGTCTCAAGCTGCCATCACTAGCAATGTTGCACCTGCTAAAGTGCTAGTCATCAGTCTCACCCAACGATCCCCCTTCGTCCCCATCCTGTCACTTTGCTTGTGTAACGCATGACAAATCAAATCCAAAATGAAAAAAAAAAAACAATCTCACCATCATTTATGTTTGCTATCCCTTTCGCAAGAGAGAAACTTTTAACAGCTGAGGTCACACTACTGAAAGACCACGGACATCACACTGAGGCACTGATGATACGAAATGCATGTTCTAGCTTTGAACGACATTATTCTCTGATAAATCCCTGCTATTTTGCATTCCGTTTTCTTTCTCAGGCAAAATATTTTACTTTTAAGAAATTGCAAATTCATTTTATTTAGCTAGACCCACAGTTTGCCGAATCAATCCATTCACCAACTGTTATCATTGACATAACTCATTACTTATGACATACTGATTATAAGGAATTCATATTCACCCTTTGAATGACATTGTTCCCCGATAAAACCCTTTTGTTTTGTATCTCGTTTTCTTTCCCAATTAAAAGGCTCCGCTTTTAAGAAGTCGTAAATTTACTTTATTTAGCCACACCTACAATTTGTTACAATCACTTTAGCCCATATTATTTTTATTAACACATTAAATGTTCATTTGTAAAAACTGATATGGGCCGATTACTTTAAAAAATTTGGTTCTTAAAACGTAGTCTACTTTTCGAATCACACCACTCACAGAGAGTTTCTGAAGCTTAAAAGAGTACGGCGTTGGGTGTATAAGCACTAAGTAGGTAGTTCGCGATTAAAAACCAAAGTATAACCAATGAATTGAAACAGGAAAACACAAGTTGCTTTCTAAATTTCCTTCTTAAGTTATAAATATTTTAGGTACTTCTATTTGATGTGTATTTATTATTGGTAAAGCGGATGTTTAAAAATGCTTTTGTTTAAATCTAAACCAGTTATTGCAGCTCGGGAAGTTCACAGCCGTTTGAAAACAAGAGTAATCTTTTAATGGTGTGGATCGTTCTGAGGTCTACGTAACAAATAATGTACATGATTCCTAAATTCGTTGTTTACTTGATGTCTTCGATGATATGTCCCGTTTCCCAATTACTGAATACTTTCAATCTTGCTACCAGAGTACACTGAGGGAAGCCATCGAATCCAACAATTCTGCCCCCCTCAAATCACTAATTCAACAGGTTTTGACTTATTCCCCTCGCACTATTCCTCATTCACCTGCACTTTTAGTACAAAGCTGTATAATCTGAAAAAATACAATAGTCGATTCCTCGAGGAATCGGTTTTGGCAATCTTTTGTCGGCTCATCTCTTAACATGGTGGAGTGGCATGCGTTATGTATCTACCTCATTTTTTTCCCTCGTTCTCAATCCTTCATCACTAAATCTGTCATGTGGGAGGAAAAGTGAAGATGTTTTGACTGTCCAGAAAGTCTGCAACTGCCACTTTCATTTCAACAGTGCGCACTACCCTTTAAATCTTCTAAATAATAAGTTGACCTAAATGTACCTGTGTTTGAAAAAGGTGAGCTTTCCTTCATAGAGGCTGCCATGTCTGATTCCGATCAAGCAGTGCACGACATCCTCATTTATGGTGCTTCGGTGACTGCCATGTGAGATATCTGCACCTGCAAGGCATCTCCGTGACACCCGAAGTGAACAGTTCCGATGATACAGGCCTCATGTTCGGTGATCAAACGGTTTGTGGCTACCCCACTCTGTTTGCCCAATGCCTGTGTGAGTGACAATCAACTTCCTGCATTACAACTCCATGATAATGCACATGGTGACGACGCCCTTGCAAAATGTCAAATGGATGACTTCTGTCAAGGGTAACGTTGGCATATAGGACCGCATTTTGGTGGTGAAAGTTCCAATGGAGTATCGCAGACGGAAATTGTACACATTCCTCTCGCAGGCCGCGTTAGTCAGACACAGGTCGGCGGTGCGCCCCTTGATCTCCCATGCACCTCAATTGGAAATCCTCTTCATGCAGCCACTCGTGGTGGTGATGCATTAATCATTCGCCTTCTCCTTTACCGAAAAACCATTGTTGAGCCTGTTAATTGTCATGGCTACACAACACTCAAGCAGACAGCGAAAGTCGAAATGCAAATGCAATCACTTCTCTCCTGACTGCAGGTGGATAGTATGTCCTCCACAACTTGACCCCTCTAAGAACTGGTTATTGACTGCGACACAACATCCTGACGGGACATACGATCCAGCCATCGCCAATTCTTGGATGTTTTATCGGTTGTCTCCTGACAGACATCATCATTTCTTCCTGCCTTTTCTTCTAGGAGCTGAAGCACATAGAGTGAGTAAAGTGACTCGCGAGACAGCTTTATCCCTGACCAAAGACGGTAAAATTCACTGAAATCTATGATATTTTACGAGAAGCTCAATCATATAGAACCTGATAGTTTCCAATTTTAGATCATACCTCTTCATAATTTGCAAAATAGCAGCAGATGCCTAGGAATGCCGTAGCCACAGCATTCAATCTTACATGCCATAAACCGAACAAATTTTTATTTAGGACATGCTGATGTTGCTTAATTCATTAAAAAAGTTATGTTTGCATGTGGTTAGTAGTTGAGACGAAGAAGCGACGGTAAATTGGCGATCATATACGTTCGACCAGGGATGATGAAAGGGTTGTAAACAGCTAGTCTAGCATTTTTAAATAGATGTATACAAAAGAAATTGAACTGACTAATTAGTGAGGTCTTTGCGTTGGAAAAGGAGCTGGAGTTCCAGAGACGCAAGCAAATTGCAAGAGAACGGGAGGAATAGCTGCATTTCATTTTGCCAGCAAGTCAAAATAGCAGATTAATTGCCATTTAAAGTGTTGCTAAGGGATGTTGAACTTTGGAGCTTGCAAGAAACTGCCTCACTTTATTTGACACGTCCTCAAAAGTGGAGCTTTGACATTAGCAGTAGCCGGACACTCCATGTAAACACATCATCGCTGCCTAGCTGGAGTGTATGAAAGCAAAGAATTCGGTACAGACCGAACCGCCACTTTGGTGCGGTATTCTTTCATAAGTAGCCGCATCGTCAAAAAGAATCGTTCACTGCAGATGCCTCCTTCTCCTTCTTCGATGTGTCACTTAAATCCACTTGCCTTTCACGCCACCTTTGGGGCCCTCCAGGTCAGCTCTGCTGTTGAAATGGTAAGATGGATTGGAAGCAAACATTTGGTCAGGTCACTCATCTAATCAAATTGGAGGCGTAGCCTGTAAAGGGAGGCAAGGGGACCCAACAGTGTAACAACTACCAGATCATTTGCGATGTGAAACAATCAAACTATCCTTTTATCTGCAAAAACAAAATTTGCACCTGTAGGTATGAATATTATACTTGATGATATATACTCTTAGAATTTTGCTCAGTGCTGCTCTTATGAGCGGTAAATTTCACACTTTGAAATTAATCATGGTTTAAAATGGATGGGTGGGTTAAATACTGGATGCACATCAGGTGGATGTTTTAATGTCAGTTTCATAAATTTCGTCAACAACGGGAATGACAAGCTGCCTTTTCAGTACATCTCGTAGATTTGTCACTAGATTACGGAAAGCCGGCGCGCCACGACTGCCAGAGGAGCAGTAAAACAATGTTAGTGCTTCATTCCCAGTCTATCCTGACTCTCTTCTTCAAGTGCAACATTGACATGATCTTTTTGGTCTTGTTGGAAGATTTCCATTTTGAAAATGCTCAGTGGAGAACCGACGCAGGTATATGACTGTTCTACTCAAAGTGATTATTGGTAAGGCCCCATTTATCCTCACTTATGACGATGAAGTAGGTGATTTAGATCTACTCTGACCTCTGCCTACATCGTCCTTCATCTCTCTCTTTCAAGAACAAATTATCGTAAGATAGAGGGCATTCGCGGCTGACGGTCGAACGATTGGGCATGCAACTGAACGATTTCACTCATTCAGTCATCCACGTAGGAAGGTAGTCCGTTATGCAGAAAAGATTGGTGAACACATTTAACTTGGTAGTGGTGACATGCACCACCTGCCTCATGTTGCGATGTGCACCATCTCAGAGAGACTAAGCCAAGCAGCGACCATTACGACAACTTTTGAGCAAAGCAGTGAGAAGCGGTCGTCACTTGAATGGATGGCTCATGGCGGTGAAGCATGTGGATGGTGTTAGACCTGGTCATCAAACCGAGATGATGCGGCTTCATGGTCTCGAAAGTTGGCCACAAAAACCAGTCGATGGGCAGGATGCTGTGGCGGAGAAAGAGCCTAAATTTACACTTGTTTTCTTCTCTTTTCACAAATAAGTGCATTAGGTTTTCCAGAAATCCGTTATGAGTCCCTCCAGACGATCCTTGACCATTGATGATGATGAGTGTCAGAAGGTCTTCTTCAGCACCACTGCACTTGATTGTTCAACTTTCGTGTTGCCTCTCTCTATCTCTCACTTCCTTCGGAGGCATCTCAACTTGTACCTGCCTTTGCACCAGCTTCAGTGTTGATGACTATGCCTCCTCAACTCACCTTATTTTTCACTTGTTGATTTTGTATGTTTAAAAACGAGTTTCTGTGCCTTTTAAAAGTAAAGAAGTTGGGAATGAAGCAATAGGCAGCTGAAAGGAAGTTGAAGAGGGCTCCACTGAAAACACAATTGACCTCCGCACCTTTCTACATCCCTCCGATGTCGCCCTGATATCATTTTATGAAGGACGTGATCATTAATTTCGACAAGTCAAAAGTCGTACACAAATGTAAAGAATAATTAGAGGCTGAAAGGGAGTAGTGCAGTTTCTATGATATATTTCAGTTTAAGGGCCAATAAAAGAGGCAGAGGAGCATGCAGTGCCACCTTTCAAAAAGGCTTTGAAAGTGGGTGCAATGCCACATGTTTTGACTACAGACAGTAGCCATTTCCACTAGTAACATTGGCAACAATATTTGTAGGGTAAAGGCCTTACAATCATCTCACTTACTTGCTTTCAGTCCGTTTGTTGCAGCGCATGTGGTCAAATAGTGTCTCGTGTTTGTGTATCTTCAGTTTGATCCTTTACACTCTTCCCATCTCCTCTCCTGTCCACCCCTTCCATCCTGCGTTCTCTCACAAAGTTTTGCTATTAAATTCTGTCCCACTAATTCATTCAGTAGGGGCAAACCTTCACTTGACTATCTTTTTAACTGATGCAAAAAATTAAGTAAGCGACGAAGGTTAAACCGGGATGGTGTCTCCCTCGCAAAAAGGGAGAGCATAATGTGACTCTTTAAAAGAATGGACAATTTGGACCTAAATCGGCTCAGTATTTTAATCCTCTTTAGCATCTTTTGCCATTCTCGATTCGATTCACACTGCCTGTCAATGTTGTGATTGCTCACTACTTTTGGCACATCATTTAACCCCCGCAATTGGGAAGATATTGTCCATTAATGAAGACCGATTATCATGCAATTCACTTCTTTTTGCCCACGAACTCGCCTGCCATCGAAGAACTTCAATAGTCAGATTTGCAATCTGTGATTTGCGCTGCCTTCCCCCACTTTTTAAATAAATAGATAACCTCTCTAGTTTTTGAAAACCGTAACCATGGGGTGCTTTATTATCAAAGAGGAAGCCATTTTGAATAACCAAGTAACGCATTCTAACTTTCAAGTGCAAAGGATTTGTTATGCGTCAAAATAGTCGTAAGTTTAGCTTCATAGCTAAAATCATTCAGGAAATCCCTAAAGCATACTAAGAGCAGTGGTATCTGATATGAAAACAGTTAGTGAGTAGTTTGCTGCCAAAAAGCTAGAAGTATACCCAGTTAATCAGGGCAAAGTGGATAGCAGTCATTTCTTCTAAACAGCTAAGTGCCTTGATTAAATGTGTTTATCGAAGAAAACAAATGTCACTAAGTTCATTAATCGCAAATTAGGTTAAAAGTTTACATTTGTTTGAAATTCTAAACCTGTTATTACAGGTCAGGTAAATGCAGGTCTGATTGACAATCAAGAGCTATATTTTGGTAAGCATGAATCCTTCTGGGGTATGTAGATCTAACGAATTATATTCCTTCATCATTCCTGATTACTAACGATATTGCATACTCGATATCGCCAACGCATTCCCTTGTTCTTAAGTTTTTGAATGATTTTAGTCCTCCTACCAGAGCGCATTGACAGATGCCATCCTTTTCGACGATCCTGACACTCTCGAATCGCTATTTCAACTGGGTGTTAGTTTATTCTACGCACTTTTCCCTTATTCATTTGCACTTCTACCACTATAATGTAGGCTACGAAAAAAAATAGACTGGCCAACTTTTTGGCATAATTGAAGGCACAAGACGCCTCTTGTAATCGTAGCAACATTTACTTTCTTTTGTAACAGTGATTGTTTTCCTTTGTCAACATATATCGCAGCACACTTGAGTGGCAGGTGCCCTAAACTACCTCCACCTTCTTGTCTCCTTTTAATCCATTCTCAAATCCGTCATTTAAATGCAAAAACTAGAGGATATTTTGTTCACTAAGTTAATCTGCAACTGCCATATTCATTTCGCTTGTACGCTCTCCCCTTTTCTTCCTATGCAATAGGTTGACCCGAACACGACTGTGTGTGAAGGTGGTGAGCTTCCCCTCATAGTGGCTGCCATGCATGGTTCTGTTCAGGCAGTGTACACCATTCTCAATTATGGTGCGTCACTTACTGCCGCTGATAGATACGGTAACACGGCCCTCCATTGGGCGGCAGTGGCAGGCAGCATCTATTGTGCGCATATCCTTCTTCAGCATGGAATCGACATTAATAGATTAAACTACATGAACGCCACGCCCCTAATGAATGCCATTTCCTTCCAGAACATTGACGTCGCAATATATCTGCTCTGGAATGGTGCCTCCACGACACCTGAATTGAACGTTTATGAGGAATCGGCCCTCACTTGCGCATCTTCTACGGTTTGTGACTAACGTCGAGTGTAGACTATTCTACCCTGTTTATCCCATACCTTTTAGAGTGACATAAACAGCCTTCTAGCATCACCACACCACCGTGTCAATAATTTTTCCTGCAAAGTGTTACCAATAAACTTCTGCTTAGGGTGACGTTGCCATCGTGGAGCTCATTTTGGCAGTAGAAGTCCCGGTGGAGCATCGGATTAGAGACTTGTACGCTTCTCTCGGACAGGCTGCGGTAGGTGGACATATGGAGGTGGTGCAATTCTTGCTTGATAATGGAGCTCCTGTCGATCTCCCCAACACTACGATTGAGAGTCCTCTTAATCTAGCCATTTGTGGTGGCGATGAGTCAATTGTACGCCTCCTTCTTTCCCGAGGGGCAAATACTGAGACCGTTAATCGGTATGGCTACACACCACTCATGGAGGCTGCAATAAGGCGAAATGTGAATGCAGTCACTGCTCTCCTATCTGCAGGTCAGTGGGTTTTCTCTAATAATATGATTTATTTGCTCATGTTTATTGACTGAGGTGCTACTTGGAGCAGGCTGTATTGCAGCAGCCGCTACTTTCTGAAGCTTTCATTTGTTGTACTCTGACAGACATAATCATTGTTGCTGCAATTTTTTCCAGGCGCCAACATAACTACCGTGAGTGAAAAAACTAGAGAAACGGCTTACGCTTTGGCCGAAGAACAAGGTTACTTTGAAATCTGCGATATTCTAATGGAATCCCTGGATGTCAAAAATTTGTAGTCTCCATTTCTTCCACAATTAGCTCAACGTAATTTGCTCTTTACCAGTATAATAATTTGGAAAGCTGAAGTCACTCTATTTGATCATACTTGAGGTCACTCTAATACATCTGCATTTGAGACGTGGCCATATTGCGTGATACATTTAATGCCAAACAGCCATATATGCATGTGACTGGTCGTTAAGACGAAGATGCGACTGTAAATTGGACATCATGTACATTACGGCATGGACAAAGAATAAAGTGGGGATGATTCTTTTATACTTTTGATGGGTTCGAAATTGATAGTAGATCAGACTGACTAAATGGAAACGTCTTTACTTTGAAAGCTGAGCCTTAAGTCCTTCGTCGCGCCAGGGTTGGAAAAGAACCGTGAAATCGGTGTATGTCAGTTTTTCAGCAAGTCATGGAGGCAGATTAATTGATATGCTACAAGGCTTCATTCACTATTGGCTGATGCTGTCACAAGTGCTGCTACAAGGTGCTACAGCTGGAATCTTAGTAAATTGTTGCTTTCTGCAGAAAGCCAACTTGTCTAATTTGACATCACTGTAAATACCGAGTTTTGGCACTAGCAATAATTGGCAAGCTCGTGCGAACACTTCGATACTACCCAGCTGGAGGATTCGATACAGAGCGTGCCATAATCATTCTGGGTCCCATTTCCTGCAGAATGGAATGCTTATTATTAGCATCAGTGGACGTCCCTTAAGAAAGGGTTTTTCCTTACGCGGCACAAGACTTCTCGGATGCGTGGGCTCAGCATCACATGATAACTGCTAAGTTTCCCTCTATTTGAAAAGCATGTTTAACACTTCTGAGGACTTACGATATGGCACACGCGCCAAGCTAATATGGATGGTTTCCCTCACTACTTTGGATGACTGTGACAGTGAGACAAGACTTAGTTGCAAAATTTCACAGAATACACCTTTATCATCGCTCAAAAGCCAGGGATGCTTACAAAGACTAAATGAGTATCTCATTTACTTATCCAACCCCATTTTTAATCAGCTCATCGTTCTTCATTTTTTGCGTTGCCTTAGAATAGAACGAAAAAACAACAAAATATGTTACTCGGATCAAGTAAAGTAGGATGATGGTGTGTAAACGATCAGCATGATTGTGAGGTTAGAGAGTGTAGACCAAAAGAAGTTTGCATAATATTGGTGAACATACTTCAACGCCCAAATGCAACAATTTTCTTCGCGGCCTGTGGTGCAGACAAAGGGCAATAAGACAGTTACAACACAATATTTGCATGAGCTAGAGGTTGTAAGAACTCTAGATTCCCAGATGATGCATTCCTGCGTATTTATGGCTTTCCAAGTGGCCTGCTCCTTGCCGTGATCACAAGTAAACACAGCCTGCAACTCCACACCGTATTGCTTAATGGGTCTAATTCCTAGAGAGTGCCAAAGCAGGGACAGTCCAAAACGGTCAGCAAATTTAATAAATCAAGTAATCTATATATGCTAGATTGTACACAGGTGCATGACATTAACCGCCTCGGTATCTGATGCAGTTTTCTCCTGAATGGTCTGGAGGTAAAGTGAATAGACCCCGTAATGACCCAGCCAAAGGGTGGTTTGTAACACCAAGCGGATGCTAAAGGACGATGCAAATTTCAAGCTTGCCGTTGGGCTCTCCCAAGTTCTCTCTCTAATTCTTCTAACTTCAGCTTAGCTCACACCACCACTCCCTACCATGAGGTGATATTACTCTCCAAACGACCGCTTCTGCAGTGGTCAGGCTGTGCTCTTTCATTTTTCCCGAACACTTGCCCGTAGGTACTCAGGCTAACATTCATTCGACTGCTTGCCGATCTACTGCATAAAAGCACTTGTGATAGATAACATTCACTGCAATATCAAAGACAATTACAACAATGCAAATGGTACGATCATCCTCTCTATCTCACTCTCACTCTGGTTCCACCGGTCGTGCCTCCGAAAAGTGTGGTGTTTATTTGCGATGGCATCTCGTCAACGCTTGCGCGGTTGCAAACACGCAAAAGCATATGGAAATAAGACCCAGCTAGTAGTGCTGACAGGAAGAACTTGGCTGAACAAGCTGGCATAAGGAAGGCAATAATGGGTGAGGAGAAGTGCCTGGATAACAGAGACAATCTACAAGGATCCAAAGGCATGTCACTTTCAGCTAAACGGAATCACTACATTATACGGCGCGTTTGTTCGAGATTGAACGAGTATTCTGGGAAGCAATCGACTTGCCCCTTGAGCTTGGGAATATGAGAAGATTTTGTGAGTGAACAACCGCCTATTTGCTGGTTACCCACCTCAGTCGTCAACCACTTCAGCAGAAGTGGCATCCTCAGGGCTCAGCAACATAACCTTCACCTTTTTGCACTCCCAGAAACTCCTAAGTGGAAACTCATCATTTGTGCTTCCTCATACCTGTCTTATGGCTAAAGCGCAGGCATTTGGAGCTCATTGAGAGGAAATGTACTGCAGAATTTTTCTTTCACTCTTGTTAACTGGCAGGAGATGAGGTCTGGTGTCATGTGCTTTACTCAATTTGCTAAACTGGTTTTATGCACAGTGACAACTCCAGAAGAGCTCTTCCAATAAACGCCTTAAAAGTGCCACTCTTTGTGCCAAAAGCCCTAATGTTCTAGCACAATTCAAAGTTCGTTCCCTCATCCCTTTCCTCCTCAGCGGTCACCATCACTTGGCAACAGACTGCAAATGCATCACCAATACATAAAAAGGGAAGGTCACTCGAAATGGTACACTTTGATAATCCTCTGTCCACTGACATATGGACTAGTACTAACGTAATCAAACCAGTAGGCAAGCACGCGCTCGACATACACAGCAAGCTCACAACTCCCTTTTAAACACCTTGACTTCTTTACTATTGCGGTTGGTAACCACTCATACCACCATCAAATGAGCTGGAGGTGATTGCTTCACTAATTTGGGCTATAATAAACAGTATGTTTCGCTTACATCACTAAAATGGAAAAGTAGCAGTACTGCTAATAGTTCCCACACTGCCACTTTTGGTTATAGAGCCATTCAATAGCTCACTTACATATTCTTTATTTCGGTTATTTCTAGATGATGGTTAACTATTTCATCCAAATGATCCGTTTATTGAGAGCTCTTTACTAGAAAGGAACAGTACCACACATGCGCTTACAGGCAGCAGACCTTTAACAAGGCGGATTAACGCTATGCCTTCACGGCAGCACTTTTGACGTTACTCCCACTGCCGTTTTCGCGCAGCTCCCCTCCCCGTGGAAAGGAACTTTTGCTTTGGGTGTGCCTTGTCTTTGATGCGTTCCCGAGACTAAACCACTCTGCCCGCCTTTGGCAGAGATCACCTTCATTACCATTTATAGCCTCACAGGCCTTCTTTCTTCTCTTAACCTTGCCAACTTAAAACGGTTCAGTGCTTTCACCTTACGATTACCTACTCCAGCAAGTCTCATACGCGATCCAAATTTGCCGTTTTTGTAAGAATAGCAACGTGATCAGTTTGATCGTGTATCGAATACAGAGACGCGGTTGGCAACAAACAAACCTAACTGCTGCACTGCAATCTATAAGAATGGGACCTAAATCCTTCATCCATCCTGCAAAGCAATGCAATGTTATCATTTCGCTATCAGGCCGAATAACAAAGATGACACAGGTACAGTGATTTCATACTAGATTCCTTCGTCATAGACCCACTTCTAAAATGCCCTAAAAATGAATTTCGCATTGATGTTGACAAATTGGCGGAGTCAAAGTGATCAAACGCTGAGAGGATAAGGTTAATAATGCTTTATTAATAGTACTGCGAGTCATGGAATTTAAATGAGTCGAGTAATGCACACTCGACCAGCGCGACTCAACATTGGCAGTTTGTTTGCCTAAATCGGACTTATTCACTCTAGGCACCATATTTGTAGCATGTGGATTCAAAACGGGTTAATCGGCATTCAGACTTGTGGCAAACGAAGTGTTCTTCCACTCACTCGAGCGCTTTTGAATAAAAGTTGTGGTGAATTGTATGTAAGTTTGGCCCAATCAAATGCGTATTCAATGCTTTAAACAAAGCGACTTACAGAGACAGTGCTAGAGCGTACTATTTGAAGTGTACCAGTTCAACCACCAAAAAGAAGGAGTTAATTCATCCACCATCACATAACTTAGTGCCAAGCTCAAATCATGCCCTCTCTGACAGCTCCTTACATAGGAGACGCCCTCAATTCACCCACGGGATTAATCATTTCCACTAGATGATTCCCATCGCATTGCAACACGGTCTTTTCCAATTCGCGTTTCAAGTACCAAACCACATTCCATCAGTAAAGGTGTATTCTTTCAAAATCAACAATCTCCAATGTCAGTAGTCACGCAGGCAATTTACTTTCACTGGAGCCCAAAGACGCATTCGAAAATGCCCTAGAAGTCTAAGGTGAATGGTTTGTTAAGTCTACACCTCCTGACACCGACAACGATCCATTTCAAATTCAGAATCAATTTCTGCAGCATTTACTTCATAATCTGCTGAATTCGCACAATCTACTTGAGCCTGGTTATCGGTAGTGCTCAGAATATTGCGCAGCTTGTGGTTTTTTGCAAAAGCTAACCCCGTAAAATCATCGCAATGATCTTCACCTATATTAGTCATTCCAGCAGGTTTCTCTAAAATGCGTTGATGAGTTTTACAGGAAATATTTGGGGCAGAAGATCCATTCGAAAAGTTAAGATTAAATCATTCTGCACCACCAACAGGAATGTGACTTAACGTGACGAGAGCCTCCTTTATCAATGCTCAAATTCGTATTCAGATGAAACATTTGAGCTCGGTTTAAACAAATCTCCCGAATTTATGCCCTACATGGAAAGATGGAGAGATTTGTTAGTAGTTTGCCAAGAACTCCTGTTTGTGCCTTTTATCCAACCTTGAAATGTTTTGCAAAAAACCTGCACATACTCTCCTGTAAATGCCACGAGGTCGGCCCTTGCAGAGTGAGGTGGCTAGAGATATGCAGCGGTGAGGAGTGAAGGAGGGAAAGTCAGGTGATTTGAAGCAGTGAACATAAACAGGAGCCTATGACATTCGTTAGAGGAGGCAAGGGCTGCTAAGGCTTGCAGACGTATTTGGTTGGGTGAGAGTACAAGGAAGGTGCGCAGACACGGTGCCAGTAGCATCTCGGAGTGCAGATGACGACTTCCAAACAGTGAAATGTGTTATGCATTTCATCACGGCCTCGTAAAACGCCACATTAATGGGTATCCACATTCCATACATTAAAGCCGCATTCTTTGCATATCTCGTTGGTTAGATTTGGATGTGGCTTAAGTAATAAAATCTGGGAAGGACTGCTTGCAAGGATTGCTTCTGAGTGATACATTGAGTAAACTATATCCACTCTACCAAGTGCAACAACGAGTCAAATAGTCCGTAATACCAGAGTAAAATTTTGACCAACACATTCATTCTACATTCGTCACTGATTCTCTGCAAACTAGTGATCTTTGTGAAAGGCCGCAATGTCATCAAGTGGGAGAATTGATTTGTCTCACTTCCTCAATGCATGTTGAGGTGCGGGCGAATGCTTGTTCCGTCGTACTGACAGAAGTAAAAACATTGATTTCTCTCGAAATAGCAAACGGCATGCCCTATTGCCTCTTTGAATATCTATTATGTTATTTTGCAGTAGTCACAACTGCTCGATCAGGGGTGGAGAGATCCTCTAATAACTACGTCCTCACCAATGATCAATCCACCCACAACACTGCTTGCGATACCTTCGGTCTCAGAGCATGGCCAGTAACACCGCAGATGCTTCAGCACGATCCGTTTGTTGCGATGGCAGACAGAGGTAATTATTCTCCAGAACGCTTTTATCAGAGTGAAGAACGTTTTACGGTTACAATTTGAGCCGATTCACTTATTTGTTGTTGTTTGGCCGCTTTACCTGGTGCGGCATCTCGGAACGTCAGTGTTGCCGTCCTTATTAGGAACCTTTTGAATTGTTTCAATTCACTTTTACAGTCGGTCTATTTACACGCTCTCAACAATGAGATATCCTACTATTTCTGACAATAATAGCACAAATTTGCTTTTCTGCATTGAACGACTATATTCATCCGCAAATTTCTACTATCTTGCTTGTCTTTTCCCTTGCCCCATAAACTTTCGTCAATGGAAAGTATATTGAGTACATCATTTTGTAACACTCACCTTATTTTATCCCATTTTTACAATGTCAGTAACCTTAAGGTAATTTATAGGCACTGTCATATTTTAGTAC